TTCAGGGTAGAACCTATGAACCTCCAGTAAGACGACGGGAGGATGTACATACGCGGGTTGTTCGTTTTATGCCTGGCCGCAGCCGTGGCTGTTGCTAATCTCCAACAGGTTGGCAATTTTCTGGAAAGCCTTGAAGCTATACTTTTACAAAATCACACCCTCTTTTCGCGTTATCGGAGTGACGAACTTTTTGCTTATCATCTACTTTTTCAAATATAATTAGTGGTGGTGTTTCTAAAGGGGTTTTTTTGGCTAAACTCCAGATACCCCCCCCCCCCCAGCCGACCCCCACCTACCGTATCTCGGCTCCCTGTTCATCTACAGGTGTGTAAAGTATACCAAAATGTTCGTCTTGCTGTGGCGAGTATTTTGGTATACTTTACACACCTGTAGATGAACAGGGAGCCGAGATACAAAAGTTGGGTGCCGGCTGGGGGGGGGGGGGTTATCTGGAGTCTTACCGTTTTTTTGCTCTTCCTAAGCGTGAAAACTGACAAGTTTTAATTAAAAAAAAATGCCTAAAATTTCGATGTTTCTGCCAAAATAGGTGTCGATTTCTTAACGGATTTTTAAAGTTTGTTAGATAGCTTTGTGGTTGAAATGTAGTTATATTTTACTAAAACTACTATTGCAACACCTCCTAATAATTTACTAGATATTTCTAGAACTACAGAAAAAAATTTGTTCCCCCCCCCCCTGATAACGCAACCGATAAAGCTTTTACTTCGCTTTAAAAACAATTTCCAGGACCCGTACGCGACACTTGGCCTAAAGAAGGGCGCCTCGATCCGCGACATCAAGAAGGCCTACAAATCGCAGGCTCGCGAGTGGTAATTTGGCTTGAAAAGCTGGAATTCTATCCCTTCAGGCATCCCGACAAAAATGACAGCCCCGAGGCCGGCGAGAAGTTTATGGCGATCAGCAAGGCGTACGAGGTGCTATCCGACCCGATCAAGAAGGACAGGTTAGGGGTTGTGGAAGATTTTGTGATTTTTTCGCTAGATATGATAAATATGGAGCGTTTGACGACACGCCTCAAGGTCACAACGACTTCCACGGGTTCGGCGGCTACAATAGCTTCGTAAGTATTTCTTCACGGTTTAGAAAATCGAAAATTTGCAGTTTGGCGGATTCGGACAGACGGATCGGCAGAATTCGTTCTTCGCCAAGCACAAGATCAGCATGCGGCTGTATTCACACTCGATTCTGGAGAAGGTGAGGGTCTGGATGCAAAAAAAAAATTAAAATAAATAGCTATACTTTAAGTCGGAAAACTACTAAAAAAAATTTAAACTATAAAGATTGGTCGAAAAAAGTTATTTTTGGTATTTTTGATCGTGTAGCTAAAGACCCAGATTCCCTAAAATGATATTCCCCTCTGTTTTCTTTATTTTCATAATTTTTTCCGTATTTTGACGCGAAAAATTATTTGGAAAATTTTAAACTGTCTAATGATTGGCCTAAATCGATATTTTTCCATTTTTGGATGTCGGGTAGCTAAAAACGTAGCGTTTTATATAGTTTTTTCTACACTTTCTATATCTTAGTTTTTCTAAATTTTTAGAGCAACCAGCAGCCGTTCATCCTGTTCGCCTACTCGGGCTACTGCCACCTCTGCTACCAGATCGAGCCAGTGTGGCAGAGCGTCGTCGAAGACCTCGAGCCCCTGGGCTATGGCGTCGGCACGATCAACGCGATGACGGATGGAAACTTGCTGGAGAAGCTGCGCGTCACGCACTTGCCGTCGTTGATGGTGCTCGTCGAGGGACGCGTGATTCACTACTCTGGGAATATGGTTCACATGAATGCCAAGTGAGTTTTAGGCTTATTAGAGCTTGGAGATGTTTCTAATTATAACGTTTAATTAAAAATTTGTGTTTAGCCGAAAAATACGAGTTTTTCCGACCTAAACGGCGTGAATTTCGAAGTTTTGAAGGTTTTTGAATGTTTTAATTGTAATTTTTGTGTTGTAGCAAAACAAAAAATTCAAATCTCTTTTCAGGAACGTGCGCGTCTGGGCCCGAGACGTCATCCCCAGATCGGTGCTGATCACAATTGACGCGCACGAGACGCTGAAACGCTTCATCGACCAGTGGAAAACGACAAATAAGGTACTGTAGAAGCTACCGTATTGTATCGAAATTTTCAGGTCTCCGTTCTGATCCTCGGCGCGGCCGCCGAACCCCGGCTTCGCTACATCCTGACGGCGATGAAGTACTCGCAGACCGCGCGTTTTGCCTACATCCATTTGGGCGGCTCGAGTAAGTTTTGAATTTGAAATTATTGGCGATTAGGTTCTTTCGCATTATCGGGGGCGGCGGATAATTTTTTTGTATTAATCTAGAAACGCCTAGTAACTTAATAGAAACTATTTCCATAATGTTTTAGTAAAATAAAACTATATTTTAGTTAGTTAGATCTAAAAACCCTGAAAAATGTTTCAAAAAGGCGAAATTTTCGTCAAAAACTGCCCCCTTTCGTTTTTTTCGTCTTTTTTTCGTTTTTCGTCGAAAAGCGATATTTTTTACATTTTTTAATAAAATTTGTAAATATTACGTTTAGGAATCGTGAAAATAGTCTAGAAAGACTTACACTATTTATATTTAAAAAAATTTCTTCTCCCCCCGATAATGCGAAAGAACCGGCGATTACTTTAGTTAAGTCTATTGACTTTTAATTATATCCACGTTTTCCTGGATGCCAAGGTTTACTTCGTTCAGACCCCGAGGTGCAAGACATGCGCGAGGCGTTGGCGATCAAGTGCACGCAGTGCGAGAATGTGCTCATCTTCAACGATGCGCCAGAGGTCGGTTTTTAGATGAAGTGTCATTTTTTTGGCATTTTAATTTTGTATTCTAACTTGGCCTAAAAATAAGCGTTTTAAAATGACAATTTCAGCGCGGCCCGATCGCCCGGCTCTCAATCAGCAACGCCAACCAGTTGACAAAGGACATGTTGACGCAAATCCTGGACCAAAATCGCTTCATGACGTTGCCAAGGGTACTTTTGAGCATCTTTTTTACCATTAGCTTTTTTAGCTCTCTTCTAATATCTACCTTGACGAGCTGTGCCCGGTATCGTCGCGGAACCCGCGGAGGCTGTGCGCCATTTTGGGTTCGTTGTTTTGCAACGTGTAAAATTTTTGACCAATCGTTTTTCGAACGTTTTGAAGTTTTGACATAGTGTTTGGAGTTTAAATGTAGTTTTATGTTACTAAACAAACTATTAAAACACTTCCTATTAATTTGAATTTAATTTTAACTTCCTAGAATAGCAGTTGTAATTTTTTTCTTTTAACTTTAATTTTAATTTAATTTCAAATTTTAACTTATGCAAAAAGTCCGCCTCCCCCTTATAATGCGAAAGAACCTAAAAAAGTTCATCATTGCGAAATTTCCAGATTTTGAGAATAAACCGAAATTTCCCATCTTTTAGTCGTTATGGACGGGAGTGACGAGAAGTACGTAGAGTCCTATAGACGATTCGTGACAGCCCGGAAGGGGAAGTTTGACGACGGGAAGGTGAGAAACGTTCTGGAGCTGTAGAAAAGAAGTTGTAATTTTCAGGTGAACCTCGTCTACCTGTACGCGAACCGGCAGACCGACTGGATCAAGCCGTTCCTGGAGCGCCGCAGTGGGAATCCAGATGTATGTTTTTCAGGGGTCCCTCGTAATCGTAGCTTCAGAATTCGGCCCGGGACGTGCTGGTGATGTGGCGATACGAGCACGTGAAGGCGCGATTTACCTGGCTGAACGGTTGGTTTTGAAGTTTATAAAGCTAGCTTGAAGCCCTTTAAACCTTGAAAACTATGCTGTACACTTTATAAACAACAAAAAACTACAGAAACTCGATTTTTATGTTGTTTTAGGCGCCTGGAAAGAAGATGGTTCTGAAGCTACACTCGATGCTGCGTTGACGGACGTACTGCGAAACTCGATCAAGCTGGATGAGATGGCAAATGTCGGAAATCTGGTAAGAATTTGTACTTATTGATTAAATCTTATTGTTTTTGTTAAAATTTTATTGATTATTATTTTTTTATTGAAAACAATCTATTCCCAATTTTTGTTTCTATTTCAGAACGACGAATACTACCCATCGTGGTGGAACCGGATGTCGAAAACCGTCGTCCGGCTCTTCGAGACGCTGTGGTTCCACTCGACCAAGGAGGAGGTAGGTGTTATATTTTTAAATTAGTTTGTTTATATTTATGTCATTTTATTTATTGTTCTTTGATTTTTTAATTATTTAGTTAGATTTATCTGATTTTTTACTTATTTAGGCGCTTCCCGTACTCTCCGTCGTTGGCACGCTGTTCTTCATCTTCTTCGCCTACTATGCCCTGAACTATTTGACGCGACCGGAAACGAGGGAGCGGAGGGTGAGTGAAGATTCGACATCAAAAATTATACATTTTTAGCGCTTCTCCCCGACGTCTTCTGAAGAATGGCACCCGGAAGACCCAAACGTGACGGATAAAGATGCGCTGCACACGGGCGGGCCAAAAGATTCGGCGGCTCGCAATAAAAAGTATAGAATTTCTAGATTTTTTTCAAAAACGAAATTTAGGATCATGTCCGTGATGGAGCCAATCATTCACGAGCTGCGCGCCGAGTCTTACTACGGTATTTTATCGCCGCTTCCGGAAAATTTCGTTTCTAGGAATGGTACGTCTTCTAAAGCCTGGCTGCCGCTCGATGATTCTGCTCGTCGACGAGGAGCATAAGAAAGCCGTTGCTCGAGCAGTTTGCCAAGTATTTGTACCCGCTTCGAAAGTGAGTCGGCCTCTCTCTCGCATCGCCTGGTTTCCGCATTGATCTTTGCTAGCTGGCCCTCGTAATTTGAGAGATCAAAAATCTATTTAGCCAAGGAGGTCTGGAAGTCTGCCATTTATCGCTCTCTCTCTTTCTCTCTCTCTCTCTCTCTATCTATCTCTTTCTCGCTCTTCTAGCTCCTCTAACATTGGTTTTAGTAACAAGACCTTCTCCTTCGGCTACCTGATGGTCGACAAGAATCTGCCATGGTTCCGGAAGCTCCTAGAACACACGCTGCCCGGTTAGTGTCTTCTAATATTCTAGCAACTCCATTTTTTTCAGGTGGTGATGGTAACCCGGCACCTTCTGATGAGCTAAAGGGCGCCTCCATGTACGAACGTCTGAAGGTAAAGTGTCGGAAAATACAGTATAGGCTTTTTTAGTCAATAAACCCTCGCCAAACGATCGGCACCGTGTTGGTGCTGTGCGGCTGGAAGCTGTACTTCTCCATCTACCACCCCATGCACACGGCGCCCAATAAGAAACACTTTTTGGGTAAGCGGCTGAACTTTCTCTCCTCTCTGTCACTCTCTCTCTCTCCCGCTCTATCATCTATTCTTTCCTAGGCTTCGAGGACGACGGCGAGGAGGCCAGCGACTATTCTGACGAGGAGCTCGACAACAACGAGGCCGTCAACCGGCGCAAGTCGTTCACCAACGTCAACTTGCAAAACGTGCTCAACGGGTTCGGCAACTGGATGGATCGGTTATTGGAAGGTGAGGATTCTTTTCGGAAAACTGGAAGCTGATTTGCTTATTAGTCTTTCGATGTTGTACGTAATAAAATGAATCCAGAATTGAAACGGAAAAACTAGTTTAGAAAACTTATAAAGATCGAAAAAAATAACAATAAGAACCGAAAAATCTATTTTAACGAATTTCTTTAAAAATTTGTGGTTGTTTACATGAAAAATATTAGCAAAACTATGTAGAAACAATGCCTATCTATCCCAGGAAACATGAGATTATTCTGAGAAAAAGTTCGTCCCCCGATAATGCAAAAGAAAACATAGTGAAATAAGCCAAAAGGTCATTTTGCTTTCGTCTAAATATGTTTTTAGGCTCTATCCGCCGCTACTACATCCCGGAATGGCCGGATAATCTGAAGTAAGCCGGCGGAAGATGCCGCCACATCCGCTGTTGCCATGGCAACACTCTCCGCTCAACACCGAGGCGCTACCACCATCCCAAATTTTATATGAACAAAAATTATATCTATGGTTTTTCTTGGCATAATTGTTTGCTGTAAGGATACGTTGGGTCAATTCGCAGCTGTATACTCGTCTCTTTTTTTCCTATATATCCCGATTTCCGTTCGATGAGCTGTCTCCCCCACTATCAGGCGATCTTTCAGTTATCACCCCCCGGAATCTACTGTGGCATATTCTGTGTGATTTTATAGTTTTTAAAGGCGCGTAAAAAGCAAAAAATGCAAAGTCTCCATTGCCAAATATTTTTGCGGCTCTTTTACAATATCGTGGGGGACAACTTTTCTTTTAGCGCCCAATATTTTCTAGAAGAAATAGAGGAAGTTTTTCTAAACCGTTTTATTGCTTATCGCTGTTCCGAAACGCAAAAACTTTACAAAATTTTTGACAAAATAATGGATTTTCGAAAAAATAGCCGATTTTCGACCAAAAATGCTACAAAATTTTTTTCGACCTTTTTTTGATTGTTTGCCACTTGAAATATAGTCCAATTTACCAAAATATCTATCAAAATCCTTAATATTAATTTATTAGGCTTTTCTAGACTAAGAAAATAGTTGCCCCCCCTGAAATTGCGAAATCATGTTTTGCAAATCACCACTTTTTATCCCAAAAATTTCTAAGCAATTTTTGCCTCCCAGCGTCCTTTCCCTATAGCCCAACTCGCGCTTTGCTTGTCCCGCTCTTTCTTTGCTGCTACGCCAATCTCATAATACTGATATAGTCACACGACGTGCAAGAGTTCTTTTTGTCTGTTTTTGCGGTGTTTAATAAAGTTTTATCGTGAAGGGCCATAGACAAATCATCGCCCTGGTCAACACACCGGAAGAGACTCCCTGCCGTGAACTTGCTGAATTTCCGCAACAACGATTTGAAAAGAAAATGAGCAAGGCCGAGCCGAGACCGAAAAGCGTCAAAAAGACGCTGAATGCCGGGAGGGGACAAGTAAGTTTAGAGCTATTTTCTAAAAAAAATTGAAAACCTCTAGGTGCCAGAATATAAAGATGGAACGAAGGCCGTATTTCACTACGAAGTGCTGAGGCCGCTTGATTTGACGAATGGCATGCCGGAGAGTAGGTAGGTTAAGGAAGAAAAATAAAACAAAGAAAATCACTCAAAAAGCGAAATAACTTTAGAGATGACTATGAAAGTATCGAAGACACGAGAAAAGGATACCCACATGGCTATGGCCTCCCGATGGAGCTGATTTTTGGCAAGAAATTCCAGTTGGCCATTTTTGAGACGCTGCTGAGGAGCATGAACGTTGATGAGGTAAGGCGGCTAATAAAAAGTCTGAAAAGAAAGCTGAGCTAGAGGACGGCTAGGAAATCGAGTTACCTTTCAGATCAGCCAATTCGACGTCGAGGCCAGCGAGCTGTTCCAGTATCCGCTAACCTCGAAAAAGCTGCGCGATTTGGCGCATTCCAGGGAGCATGGCCACGGCCATTCGCACAGCACGCATATGTGCGCCGCGACGATGGCGGAGGGGTGAGTTTTAGCAAAACTAAAAATATAGGTTTCCATGAGTGATTTTTGGAAATAATCGTAAGATATCATTTTTAAGGGGGGATTTTTGCAAGATACTTCAGGATTTAGAAAAACACAAAATAGATGATTTTCTTGAGAATCTATTTTCTACACGAGACAAAATTGAGACATTTTGAGCCTTTTTTGCGCTTAAAAGCTTCATAACTTTTTGAATATCGGCGTTTCGAAGGTTTTGATAAGTATATTCGGAATCGGCGCAAAATTGTCACCTTGTATGGAAGGTAGATTGTTACAAAAAGTCTCCTGGTTAAATCAAGTATCTCGTATCTTTTATTCTCTCTTTCAGAACCGGATACCCATGTCTCGATGAGCTCCTGAAAAAACCGAGCCCACTCCGCTTCATCTTCCATCTCCTCCAGGTCCACCAGCCCGAGGACTACGAGGCCGAGGGCTGGCAGCTGAATCCGGAAGCCAAGTTGAAAAGCGTCGAGACCCTAAAGCAGCAGGGCAACGAGTTGTACCTGAAAAAGAAGTACCGGCCGGCCATTGAAAAGTATAAAGAAGCGCTTACGCGATTGGACCATTTGATATTGCGTGAGAAACCGGGCGATCCGGAATGGGAAGAGCTGGACGTGAAGAATGTGCCGTTGTATCTAAATCTTTCCATTTGCTACTTGCACTGCGGCGATTTCTATGAATCGATAGGTGCTGCCGATGAGGTGGGTACAAAATACAATACTGAAATAAAGAAAAAATAAAATTTCAGGTACTTTCACGAGATGCGACAAATGACAAGGCGTTATATCGAAAAGCAAAAGCCTTGATAGGCACCTGGGAGCTTGGAAAGGTGGGAATTCTTCGTTTTGTGGATAAAAAACCTACTTTAGGCCCGAGAATCCCTGGAGAAACTTGTTGCCGCGCACCCGGAGTGGGCAAAACTCGCCGACGTCGAGCTGCAGGAAATCAAGCGCCGCCAGGACCAAGTGGCCGCCGATAAAAAGAATATTTGCAAAAACATGATCAAGGGAATGGGTGGCGAATAATTCGCCAAATTTGTTTATCATTTTTATTTAACGTTATAAACGTGTATTATTAAAAACTTCGATCTCTAGACATTCCGCTCTCTTTATCCTTGATTCCAAGAATTTTGTAAAATTTCATGCGCTTGTAAATATCAGTATTATTCTTGTACAAAATTGTGATCATCAATATTCCGTGTAAAACGTGCTCAAAACGAGAATAAAAAGTTATGAATTAAAAAGTAAACACATTTTAGGGAAGAGCTTGGGAAGAGAGCCCTTTTAAATTTATTTGACATGAAATTAAAGGTTTTTGTTTTAATTTCTTTTTCATTTTGTTCTGCCCTTTCGAATTCAGTTTTATAATTCCGTTCTTTTAGAGGATGGAGACCGCCAGTTCAAGATCAACGACCTCCTCAAATTCGCTAAGCTCCGCATCAACGCCACACGTCGTCAAGTACACGGACCCTACCAAAATCCGCTTCGCCGTCACCTGCTCCTCGAATATGAATCGCAGCATGGAAGCGCACGGCTTTTTAAAGTATGTTTTTTAACATTTGGTGCTTTCGCACCATCGCGGTAGCCACATTGTTGATTTTAAGTATTTTAATAATGTTTTACTATTTTATAGGAAAAGAGGCATATCAATCGAGTCGTTTGGCACCGGCAATCAAGTGAAACTGCCCGGCAAGTCGGCGACGACGCCCAATTGCTACGATTTCGGCACGCCGTACGATTTCATCTTCAAGGACCTGTCGAAAAAGGACAAGGCATAGTGAGTAGAATCAGTTCGTCATTTTCAACCCCGACTTTTTGTAGTTACACGGAAAATGGGCTCCTGAGCATGCTCGATCGGAACCGGCGGATCAAAGAGGCCCCCAAAAGCTCCAAGTCTGCACCGACGAGTTTAACGTAATCATTGCGCTCGAAGAAAGGGTGTACGATCAGGTAGATTTTGATTTAATTTTTATTGAATAAATGATTGAATTTAAATAATTAATTATAAGGATCGCTTTAGCGGCGCTTTTTACTAGGTTTTAGATATTTTTGACTTGAAGTTAGTGTAAGTGCACCAATAAGGCTGCGAAAAATAATTCTTTTTGAAATCCTACTATATACATTAAAAAATAGTGTTTTTAACTAAACAATTGATTTTGGGAAGAAAAATTGATTTTTTTCGTCCCAAAACGGCCCCATTTACGACTTTTCAAACGCAACCCTGACTTTTGGAAGATTTACATTTCAAAAACAGTTGAAACTTGCTAAAAAGATCATAAAAAATTATATTAGACCTCCCCCGATAATGCAAAAGCACCAATTATTGTTATTTCAGGTGCTCGACCATTTCTTCAGCAAAAAACAAGACCGCATGGTGCACGTCCACATTATCAACATTGACATCGAAGACAACCACGAGGATGCGACGAATGGCGCGTGGTTGGTGACCGATATTTGTGAAAAGGTCAGTTATAACCTTTTTTTAGATTAAAATTTCCATTTTAGCTCAGCAAATGCCGCGATTTGACGGCCGACATCGAGCGGGTCATCGAAGAATTCGCCGACAAGAACCCCGAGCGCAACATAATGCACACAATCAAGTTTTACTAGGTTTTTTTGACGTTTACGTTGTTAATTTATTGATCGTTTCCAATTTTCACTTTTTCTCAGACGATACCGGTAATAAAGTCTTGTCTATTTTCAGCGGAATGTTGCGTGCGACAGTTTTTAGATCTTGTATTTGAGGGATTTTTCGTGAAATGGTTTGAAAGGTTTTAACGGTGCTAGACAGAAGTTCCCAGAATTTTTTTTGGCTTTTTTGATCGAATATAGAGTTGACTGGGTCTTGCTAATTACGGAAATTCTGAGCGAAAATGGATTTTTTACGTTTTTAGGTATTTGCACTACGATCAAGCTGGCGCCGTGCCATAAACGGCTAGATTTTGCCTTAATAGTTTCTTTAGAAGAATTTCAGGATTTTTGAGCAGCTGGCTACCTTCCGACTCTTGATTCTTGACGATATTGGCCCTTTGCCATACGTTTCCGTGCCAGCAAGCTAAAAAGGGAAAAGTTTGCGAAAAGTGACTCATTGAGGCAGGAAACAGCTTTGCCTTTGCGCTGCCAGTCCCGCTTAAAGGGCAGTTTTTGGGGGATTTTGAGCGCCTAGAAACTTTAAAAGTGCCTTCTTAACCCATCGTGTTTTTCGTTCAACAAGCTAAAAAGCCGTTATGCTCTGCCAAATCGACTCATCCATATGCCGGCCATCCATGCCAATTGGACCCCTTGCCATACATTCCCGTTAGAGTCAACCAAAAAATGCTTTTCACGAAGACAAATCGACCAATCTATTTAATTCCCACCCACCTCGGCGAGATCCCGGGCAACGCCGGGAATGCGGCTATTTTTTCGGGGGGTGTGTCCGTGACCGGCCAGGGCGGAGGTCCCTCGCCTGGCTGTGGATTCTCTTCCACCACCACTGGGGCGCTGACTTTCATTTTTCTCTGGCCAGCCGGGGCGCCGTGAATTTGGGCGAGTCGATAGCCGCTCCCATCCCTCCTCTCCTCTCCCACGGCACACACACACCCGGGGACACCCCGCCCAAACAACAACTGCGTCGCCCAGGCTTCATCGCGACAATATGGCTAGCTTCTATGCTTTTAGCGTATTTTTAGATCTTTATTTATGCTCTGTAACGAAGGTGTTTGCTACAATAATGTTAGCAAATGACCTTGAGAAACGAACGGCGCTCAAACTTTTCCTAAAACTTTTTTGTTAGCCTGCTCTCCTCGCACTTTTCTTTTCTGCGCTTCGTCTAACCCTGAGAATTTACACCTACGTCTATACCTTTATTTAGGCTCCCGAAAGAACACAGCAATTTTCATTATTTTTCATGGTCCGCAAACGGCCTTGGTAAACGAAAGAAGGCTCGGAAACTGCTGAATATTTCCTGAAAGGTCTCTGCTAGCTAACCTTCCGGTCGACAATCCATTTTGAAATTGTTCGTGAATTTGCTATTTCAACGTTCCACTTTCCAACTCCGCAACCCCTCCGAAAAAGCGTTGAGAAATGTTTGTTTGTGAGGTAAACAAGCGTTTTCTTCTATTGACTAGCTTTCTTGGCGCGTGGGCACTATAGAAAGCATTGTTTAGAAGATTCAAGCATGTTTGAGGGCTTTATTCCTTTTTTGATGACTTCTTGAGACCCGCCATGCCCTCGGGGGTCACAAATAAACCCGGAAAAGCATAAACATCAATTGTTGATGATTTCTAGAGCTCGGGAGCATCAAAACAAGTCGATGAACTGGCCGGAAGAACCCGGAGATTGGCTTAAGGTTTCATTTTTTGAGTCGCTGGACTCCCCCGCCCCGTTTCCCTGGCAAACCTTATCTATGACTCACCACCGTCACGAAATGTAGCGACCCTTCTTGAGCGGGATCTCATTTTTCGTGATTCATTTTTACGGAGGAGGCGCTCATTGCTACCGTTGCTGATGAATATATGTAAACACCCCTTAAAACTCAATTTTCAGGTTAGCGCCTCGACCTCGGCCTGGGCCTTTGCCGACGCGTTCTGAGGCACCCTTGCGGTCGCCGACCTGGTCCGTGCTTTTACTAGTTTGCCATTATTTGTTGTTGTTTTGGTTCTTTCGCATTAACGGGGTGGGGCACCTCTAAGGACCGAAATTTCTATGGATATGCTAAGTGTTTCTGCACTGCTTTTTATTATTCCTAAACGTGAAACTTTACAAAATTTCATTAGAAAATACGAAAATTCGTTTTTTCGAGCAAAATTTCCACTAAAAAGTTTCTAGTTTTTGTTTGATGGTTTTTCCACTTCAAATAAGTCAGATTTTACCACAACCGCGATCAAACTAGTTACTATTATTCTACTGGGCATCTCCGGACTTTTAGGGAAATTCGTCCGCCCCCCCCCCCGATATTGCAAAAGTACCGTTGTTTTTGGTATAAATAATACTAGTTATTAAATAGACATTTTAAAGCTTGCAAATATTGCCCCATTTCCAGGCCTAATGTCGCGCGACACCATCTCCGTGGCGCGGATCGGCTGCGATTTCTTGGTGCTCGTCTGCTGCGCGATACCGCTGCTGATTTTCCACGAATTCGTCCCGCCATACAAGGTTTGTATTTATCAACATATTAATTTCATCGTTAAATTCAGCGCGGCTTCTACTGCGACGATGAGACGATTCGGTACCCGTTTCGGAAATCGACCGTTTCGCGGCAGATGCTCATCGTCGTCGGGCTGTTGATCCCGTCGGCACTGGTGCGTTTTACACTATCAATATTTTTGCATGAGGTGCATACGTTATTTACGACCATGTAAAGTTAATGTTTTACGTTATTTTTTCAGATCCTACTCACCGAGCTCTTCCGGGCGACCGTTTGGGAGAAGCCGTGCCGGGATCAGTTCAAGACGTACCACATGCGCAACCACTCGGTGCACCGGCTCATCGTGCGCCTCTACTGCTTTTTGGGTAATTTTTTACTAAAAGTGGGGGGTTTCGTCAGAGTTTCTGCTTTTCTACTGCTTTTTCAGTAATTTTTAGGCTAAGAATGGATAAAAAAAGATTGTTTAAGCCTCAAATAACTTAAAATTTTTGGTCATCTACCGCATTTTAGATAGATTTTGGGCTCTCAACAGGTTTTTAAAAGTACTTTGCGCGAGAAACGGCTGACTTTTTTCAGGCTACTTCTTCGTCGGCGTGTGCTTCAACCAGCTGATGGTCGACATTGCCAAGTACTCGATCGGGCGCCCCAGGCCCCATTTCATCGACGTGTGCCGCCCAAGCGTTGGCTACAAAACGGTATTTTTTTTCCCTTTTTTATGAGTTTTGGATCGTCATTTTGTTTCGTTTTTTTTCAGTTCTCCGCCTATAAATCGGGACAGGTGATTTGGGAATTGCTGACAAAACCTTATTTTTGGACGCTAGGCATCATTCACCCTTTTTCTAGATTGATTTCAAGATGGCTAAATGCTTGTAATTCTTGTTTTTCGCGCAAATCCATAATTTTATATTTTCCGGGGCAAGTGCGGGGGTATAATATGAGGATTGGGTTTGGGAACAACAGAGCCTCCCGGCGCGGGCCTGGTTGTTTACCGGAAGCGAAAATAGCCCCTTCTCCTCGCCCATTGCTCATCCACTCAAAAAGGGGCAGAAAAAAAGGAGGAAGTGCTTAGCTGTGGCGAAAACGAAAATATTTGTATTAGTGGAGTTTTGGTTATCTATTAATGCACCGACAATTGGCCTTACGAAATTCTCAATTGAAATTAGTGCTTGAAAGCTAGCTTTGTTTTCAATTTTCTAAAAAAAGTCGAAAAAGGAAAAACCGCAATATTTACCTTGTTAGTTCGGATAATTGACTAGTTCTAATTTTTTAATTTCAAATTTAAACTCGAAATTCTTTTCTCTGAATTTGCCGTCATTGCCGCCAGAAACGATTATTTTTATTTAGCGCATTAATACGCTTGCACCATAGCATACATATGCCTAATAACGCAAAGATAATGAATGCTAGCTGCTCGTTAAGACAAACGATTTTATATTTTCTCATACAGGGTGAGGCATATATATGGCAACACTTTCTCGGCTCTCTCAAAAAATGAAGAAAGCTGGCTGGCCTTCGATAATTTGCTTAAATATAGCCACGAGTGTCCTGTATTCACTCTTAAAATATTAGAACGCAGCAACCCTACAAACTTTTTTTCTGAAGGAAAAACTGGGCGTAGTAAGGGTGGTGCTGGCACGGAACCCTTTGGAAGCCAATTGCAGCATGGTACGAAAACATCGTTTTGAGTACGAATGAACCCTAAAAACGTGTGTACTACCTAGTAATGACAGATAAAGGTAATTAACACAATTCATTTCCTTTAAGTAGGCAGAAATTTCAGAATTGTTCTCGGCTGGTCCCAAAAATCATAGTAAAAAAAGTAAAATTGCCTTTTCTGATCTTTAATCGTTGAATTGCTTGGTTTCAGCAACCGGAATTGGTTCGATCCAATGCCTAAAATGTAAAAAATTGCTTCAATAAGACAATACAGTTGGCAGGCATTTGATAATTAATTTTTAGAGGTCAACATAAGGGTGGTGAGGGGTGGGTAAGCGGGCGTTTTTTGAATATAGCAAAATTTCCTCGACAGTTTCCGACTAAAAGACTTTTGGCAAAAATAAATAAGATCGAATTAAACTTAAATACCAAACCCTGGAGCAGAGCTACCAATATCCGGCCTTCTAGGAGCAGCGTGCCAACACACCGCTTTTTCGACAAAATCGCTAAACTTCCCGTTACTATAAATCAAAAATTAAAAAATTTGCAACCGTTTTCATTTGTCTCCTGCATAAAGAAACACTAGTTCTTTGATGGAAAATATCCAATCCCCCGAAAAAATAATTAGCTTTCCGATAGCAGGCAAATTAGTATGGTCTGGGGGTGTTGCCATATATATGCCTCACCCTGTAGTTATTTCGAAATCCATTTTTAGTGCGCCAACCCCGACGAGTACATCGAGAACTTCAACTGCACCGGCATCGACAAGGGCCTCATCCACGAGTCGCGACTGTCCTTCTACTCGGGCCACGCCGCCTTCTCC